TCAAAAAGGGAACTGGACACACTGTATATGCATGAGGGCACAAATTGTGACACTTCTGACATGAATATAATATTAATGTTTCTTTGAAAATTTGCTCTATAATTACCTACCAAATAATTTACTTCTAAAGTGCGGATTTCTGAAAATTGTCCAAAAGCTCACAAGTATCTTTAAAGATATCCGGAACATACAGAAAATATAAAACGGAAATCTAATATTTTCTGTTCTCTATGATTACTGTGTATGAGTCACACGTCATGAAAAAAAATCAGTTGTTATGATTCCAGAACTATAAGGTACATTTTTCCAAGGACTCATGAGACGCCGGTTGTCACCGTTGCAACGCTTCGATGCCTTCTGTCGTCCGGTGGTTCGACCAGATACCAAGAAACCCAGAAGAAGGAGAAGAAGAAGCGAAACTGGTAGGAATTACAACGCGTCATCGAACTGACAACGGCCGGCGCTTATGAGTCGATCATCGATATCAGAATGATGCGGGGATTATCGTGTCAATACAGAGACATTTGAGAATAATATAATCTTCTCCAGATTGATATAGATACAGGAGGGTAATGTAACATTTGAAACTTATCCTGGCCTTAAATTCAACCACACGAAGGCTAGAGTGTTTACTAATGTTTGGGCAACATCAATGGCCTTTTCAGAGTATGGATCAAAAAAGTGAAAGTGACGATTCATTCTCTAATATAGCAAATTAAATCTCGCAAATTTCCATTTTCATTGTGTATGTAATTATACTGAATGACATTGAAAAATCTTGCTAAAACATGGTACGGGGTGCCATCCCAACTAGCAAAGTAATGCTTTAAGCTTTTGGTAAAAGAGCCGTTCAGCCATAAAAGCTCTCTATTGCTGTTGCCTGAACACCAAAATGCTGGCTTAATGTTGTGTGGAATGCAAATTTGCTTTCTGCAACATATTGGCTCTAAAGTGAGGTGTTTAAAATATTCTTGTAGCATAGTTATACAACACCTTATAGGGCAAATTTTTAACTGTTGTATAACCGTTTATACAACTATTTTATACGGCATATTTGCACGTTAGTCAAAATGGTGTTGTGGCATCCATGGTAACGTTTATGAAACAAACCCGAGCCTTGTTGTTTTGCTGTGCAAGTTACTACCTTAGCCAACAAATTACTCCCAACGGAAGCACTTACACAACTGTTGTTTAGTAACTGTTAAGGGCTGTACATATGCTAAATATGTTGGTATACAACTTCACCATAATCTAACTTTCTGCTGTCATATTTTTGTTAAAATGCGATAACCAATGTTTTAAGACAAACAACGCATGCATATTGGTTCAAAATGTTTTATCAACTGTTCAAACAGAAGATATAGATCTGGTACAAATTCTGGGTAAATCATTCGACTCTGTCGGTATTTCATTTCAGACATTTGTCAAATTGTTGTATAACACCTGCAGGCAACACCAAAATATTCTAATAACCTAAAGACAACATGGACGATGCCATGATTACACACAACCACCCGCCATATTGGGCAAACATTTATTCCTCTATTTAATATTAAATAATTATGTTTCAGTTCGAAATTACAGATATAAAGTGATAAATATTAGTGTAATTGTGTCTAGATATAGGATTTGCGGAAGATTTAACGCAGATAAGTTCAGTTTTCCATCTTAAAAAGACATACTTTTGATCATTATCAAAATATGAATCAAATACGAAGCCTGTAGAAATTGCGTAACTAATTTGCACGATAATCACAATAAAATTTCCTGCGCAAGTAATTCAATAGCCCTATATCACAGTTTATCATATACCTGTGTATGAAATTCACAATGGCCGATCTGTAAGTAAACAAGATGACTGTAATGTGTTAGTTATATATTCTTCACTTCGTCTATACAATACATAAGAAATAGTTTGGTTGCAATAAAATAGAATCACGTAACAGAATAGTTGTATAGTTGACAAAAACTGAATCTTGCACTGACGAAAATGTCCTATAGGGGCTGCAAGAGGCTTACACTTTTGTTGTAAAACTGTTACCTGCAGCCCTTATACAACCTCTTAAATGACTGAAGTGTCCTATTAGGTGTGCCCATTCCGCTTGTATAGCTGTTCTAAGAGGGCTTTGCCAATGTTCTTACAGTATACAATGCTGTGTAAGGAATACTGTATAATCATTCTTGCAACTCTAATAGGAGTGACAATTGTTAGTTGGGCATTGCTTACGGCAGCCGGCCACGATTAGTGTTCATTCGAGGTAGCATGACTGCGCAGCGCTATATCCACGAAGTTTTACACCCACATCTGCTTCCCTTTTTAGAAACATTGCATGATCAACTTTTTCAGCAGGATAATGCACGACCTCATGTCGCACGTGTTAGTTTAGACTTTTCAGAAACGTCCGGAGTAAATCTACTTCAGTGGGCCTCCATCGAACATGTATGGGACATGATAGGAAGAAGGTTACAAAATTAACCGCACCCTCCACAAACATTGGAGGCTCTACGAAACCAATTTGAGATGGCCTGGGATACAATAGATTAAGCAGAAATCAATCACCTAATCCAATCAATGCCGCGACGACTTAACGAATGTGTAGCGAACAGAGGAGCTTCAACACATTCTTAACATTAAGCTATTTTGCGAAATTTCGAGTTAAAATTTTATTCACTTTCTATATATCAGTAGACCTAAGACTTGTAAGAGTATGCTCAAAATTACAGCACTCCTAATCGGAGTTGCATTTTATATGTCATTTAGTATATTATTTCATGTTCTTTAATATTAATGCTGCAAAACAATATTTAATTCTTACCTTCCAAAAGTCTCAAAATTCACCATGTCATCAAGAGCTCCTTGTTGCCTGACGTGCCCAAACAAAAACATTCCTATGATAGCGTAGATAAAGGTGATCAGGGCTAGCAGTGCGCCAATATTAAACAGCGCTGGTAGCGATACTATTAGCGCGAACAGCAGTTTTCTTATACCTTTGGCAGCCTAAAACACACATGTGTCCATTTTAAAACACACAGAAGCATCAACATTAATTCAATACAGTAATTAGTGTCCATGTATAAATAGTTGATCGGCAAAACATTTTTTGGTCAAAGAGCGAATTTGCACAGGCGTATTTTAAGATTAGGGATTCCTCAAATCAAGGGGCATGATATTTTTACTACAACCTACTTGACAATAAAATTACATAAAGCGTTAATGCTTGACTCGGGTTGATTTTTTATTGTTGTACTTGACTCAAGGTCAGGCATTTTGAAAAAACATACTTGATGGCAAATTCGGTTTTTGTTTCATTCAAGGTCGTATACCAACTACGGACAATTACACCATCCTTAGCCGAAAGAAAAATTCTCATGGGACGGGATTCGAACCTGTGCATTCGGGCGACTGATTAGTAGACCCATAACGTTTACCACTACGCCACCGCTGCTGCCTGAAGATGAGCTGTATTTTATATTTTATTGCAAATAACTACGTATAGAATAGAAAATTTTCGTGAGACACTGCCGTCGCAAACAGCGTTGCTAAACAAAAAAAAAAAAAAACACGAAATCTGTAGATGTGTCGTTGATATTCGGTAGATTTAAGGACAAAGACCATAGGAGGAAAGAATGCGGGCTGGTGCAAGATCAGCGGCGGATCAAGGACTTCTGGACCACGCAGCGCCATCTATGAAAAGTATCAGATGCACAGGTTTACTATAAATATAAAAATAAATTAAAATCAAACGTCTCTAAAAAAATCAACTTGACCACGAATTTTACATGTTTTTCAGAACAACAAAAAATAATGATAATTTCATGTATTACATAAATTATCAATAATTTTCAATATTATTTACAATAAACTGAGTGAACTGAGTGAGGTGAGATTATATGTGTGATTGTGTGTAAAACGAACACAACTGACTTGACATAAGTTTTGTATTGTTATGCGTTAATAATTGTCCCTATACCTAAGGGTTCGCAGGGGTATTGAGGTTGAAAAAATTTTAATTTTGAACTGTCACTGTTAGCCCACCTGCAAAAGTGCGATATATAACTTCATGAAAACAGACGTTATTTGTGAAACATGTAAATTACCCCCTATCTGAGAAGCTTTTAGAACTCTACGCAGGATACTATAAGATTTTAGTTTAGTATCGAAGAAGAATAAATTGTCTATACCACCGATAGTTGTACCCTTGTCTAAAGTAACTAATAAACAAGGACAGTTCCTGTGGTCTTCAAATTCTGCCCAGCATAGGTTAATTCAAATCTAGCTGGCGCTAAAAGTTACCTTACCATCCTACGACACAGGGTACACTTTACTATCCGGTCAGAAGCTTCTTCATATACCTTTACTGAAGGCTGAAGGCTGATCTGTGTGTGTCAATTTCTGTTGAAAAACAGTAAAAAGTGTTTTCGAACAGTTTGTGTACAAAGTGAATGCATACACACTTCTCATATGAAGAGGTATGATTGCACATCTAGTTATCGAGTAACAGCAGAAGGAACACAGCTTTTTTATAACCCAAAAACCACTGCCAACAGTACATACACCAGACATTACGTAAGTACGTAAAGTAAACATATCGTCGGTCTCCGCACGTACCGGCGTAACTAACATTTTACAAATTTTACAGGAGAGCTAGAAAACGAAAATCAGCAATAAATGAGATTGAAAATGACATACTGATTTTTTAGTCTGCACGTAGCTGTGTTTTTTTTGTTAGACTAAAATGAACCAATTTTAACGCAGAGGCGTAAATCTATTTAAGCCGGTCCGTGAAAATTGTTTTCGGAATTTTATAACTTACGCAATTTTCTGAAAATTTTATTCCTTAGCAGCGAACTTATCTACAGCTACGTCATTTCGTGAAGTGCGATACTACAAAAAAGTATGTGAAATTACGGCGTAACTCGATTTTAGATTATTTATCATTTACGCCTGTACGTGCGGAGACCGACGATATAGTCGAGGCGCTGCTCCTATAAGACCTAGTTTCCAACCGACACGAATAATACGACACAATACAATATTTCATTGCAACGTTACTTATCGATACAATACAAGGAACGAAGATGCCGAATTATTTCGAATGTTGTAAAACGAAAGAGCTATCCAACTATGTGTGCATAACATGTAAACAAATTTTTCATCGCAGTTGCTGCAACAAATGAAATGACGTAATTGTCATTGCCAAGCATATGATATAGTACGACTTGTCAAGGAAAAGGTTAAGAAGAAATGGAGAAGGATAACACTACCAAAGAAATAATAAGAGAATTACAACAAGAGATTACAGAGAAGGATAAATATATCGCCTCTATGAAAAAACGCTCATTGGCCTTTGAGGATGATGTGATTGAAATTGAAAAAAATGACGACGAGATCCAGACTTACAAGCGTCAAATACAAAATATAGAGCAACAACTTGCATATTTATCCTCAAAAAACAGTACACTGCAGGAATTGACAATCTCTTTTGTTGGAAGAGTCACCTGTTGCGAATGATATTAGGGCCACAAGTTTCCAAATGAAGACAAACGATATGTGTAAAAGCCAGCCGATAGAAAATGAATTCGACGAATATCAAACAGCGTCGACTTTTGCCCAATGTGCATCTATCGTTTCCCCTATACCCCAGTTAGACGGTGAAGTAATAGCAGAATCTACAAGACAAACTCCAATATAATTCGATCATGCACCAACAATCGACCATCAGGTGGACCACCGCAACGTAATGCTTCAGACAGCTGTAGGAAAATCCTTATAATTGGTGACGAATATGCAAAAAGCTTCAGAAAAGTGTTAGAATTATACATCGACATGACAAAGTTTTCCATAAAAGCTCACGTTTATCCCCATTTAGAGTTTTTAGATATCACGAAAAACGTATTTAACATCACAAAATCTCTTGGTGAGAACGATTTTGTAATCTTCATGAACTCTAACAACATAAGTAACACCCCATCCTTAAACAAAGGCTTACATTGTCTCTTACCTCTCGGTCGAGTAACTAATCTTATTTTTTTATGCGAATTGACCACATCTGTCGACTATCATCTTAGAAATATGATCAATACTAAAGTCGATAGACTCAGGAAACTAAATAGAAACTATTCTTTGAGCCTATTCTATGACATCAGAGTTCCGGGATCAAAAATGACAATCATCCAGCATGTAAAGGATATTATTTTTGAACAAAAAAATGTATTGCCTTTGAAAACTGTACTAATCAACATCCCCGACAAGTCTGAAAAACGGTTTTTTATTAAGTAAAGCACCCATTATGGATCATAAACAACAGAATAATACAATACCTAAACCACGATCTGTTAAAACAGTAATGTGCTCTTTAGACTATTACATTTAAATATCCAAGGTGTTCGCTGTAAGTCAGGAATCATCGAATCACTGTGTGAAAAGAATAAATATACAATGCTCTCTATAAATGAACACTGGTTAAGAAAAGATGAGTTATCGTATTATCATATCTCTGGTCTTAGACCTGTATCTAGTTTCTGTAGGGATGTGAAAATTCATGGTGGTGTGGCTATTTATAAAGCAAATCATCTTCATGCCGTACCTCATTCAGATAACCTTCTGAATCTGTCAGAAGAACTACACTTTTGAAATAATTTTGAATACTTCATTATGAAACTTAATTTATCACATGACCCGAAAGTACGTAGGAAAATCTACTATAGACCTATAACAAACACCGCCCTTTTCAAACTCTACAATGATATGGAATCAACATCTTTCGAATTTGTTAATGAAAAAAGTACGAAAATCGAATGTAAAGTCGAAAAATCCATATCTATTGTCAGAAATTCGGTGAATCAACATCTTCCTATAAATCGCGACTTGTTAATGATAATAAAAGCTCCTGTAATGTGTATTGGTTCAATGATCATATAAGAAATATGAGAGAGACTTTGACTTTCCTAACAGAGCTTCATAAAGACGATGCTACTTTAGTTAGTATGGACTGCTTGAAAAAATGTAAATACAGTTACAGACAAGAAATTGTCAAAGCTAAGATTTAAGGCAATGGTGACTACATTAATAAATCCAACAACAGACAACATGCTGCCTGGAATATCATGAAGAATGTTAAACCGAACGCTCACAACCAGAACTCCTCAACATCTCTCACAGCACATCAATTCAACGACTTTTTTACCCATATCTCACAAGAACTTTTAAATAAAATTACCCCACTCAATGTTTCTCCATCGCATTATATGAATTATCCTACTCATAGTTCACGCTTTCGATTCAGGGAAGTTACATATCATGATGTGAGAACAGCCATAAATAAACTAAAAAACTCGAAGAGTACTGACCCATATGGCTTTACTGTCAGGATTGTCAAAACCTTGCAAAATCTCATCATACATCCTGTAACCAAGTTATTCAATCAGTGTATAGAAAGTAATACTTTTCCGGATTTTTTCAAACTACTTACCTAAAATTATACCCATTTTCAAACAAGGGGATACTGAAGAGTTATGTAACTACAGGCCCATTTCCTTAATACCTATTTTTGCGAAAATTTTGGAATTATTGTTGAAAGATCAAATTAAGGAATACTTTGAGGCTTACAATTTATTTTGCTCAACACAGTTTGGTTTTAGGAAAAATAGTTCCACCACATCAGCTATTAACAGTTTTATTCAGTTTGTTATCTTATCCAAAGCTTTTGATTGTGTTCAACACGATATCCTGTTGGAAAAGCTCCCTTTTTATAACTTTCATGAAGCATCCACTGGAATGATTAAATCATACTTGAGTAATCGACGCCAATTTGTATTCTTTAAAGGTTCATCCGCCTCACAGTTAGTCGCGGCTCACGGGATACCGCAAGGCTCGGTATTAGGACCTGTTTTATTTTTAACTTACGTCAATGATATGACTAACTATAATGTGAATAACTTAATCCTATTCGCTGATGACACTACCTTGGTGAATAGCAATGCCTCTTTAACATCATTGATATTCGACTGTGAGGCTCATAAAAATAATCTAGCAAACTGGTTAGCCATTAATAAGATGACCATCAAAGAATCCAAGTCTCAGATGATTTTTCTTAGCTTGAGGCACTAACTCGTGAAGTTACTAGGGGTCTCCCTTGATGAACACTTGTCGTGGGAAACTCACCTAATCCATGTTCTCGATTCATTAGCATATATATATATAGATATTTGTATATATATATATATATATATATATATATATATTTAACAACAAGTAGGAAAATAATGGGCAAAATCCGCAAAAAGGAGGAAAGTGGATTCGAGCAGAAAATAGGATAGGTAACCCGAGCGATACGTATTTCTGCTGGTTGGCTTCATCAGGCCCGTATCCGGATGTGTGGGCATGTGTATCTACTTTTGTAGTTTCATATGTGCATTCATTTCGGGCCTGATGAAGCCAACCAGCAGAAATACGTATCGCTCGGGTTACCTATCCTATTTTCTGCTCGAATCCACTTTCCTCCTTTTTGCGGATTTTGCCCATTATTTTCCTACTTGTTATATACATTTCTCCGCATGATCATATTCTCTTTATATATATATATACAATTAATTGTTAATTGGGAAATTGGCAAATGTTTAGGCTTAAGTTGACTCTTTTGACGATAAAATCAAGCTTTCGGCATTCTCTATGGAGCCTTCCTCAGGATTCTGAAAACACAATTGTGATGCTAGCAAAGAATACAGGACAGATTTAATTGTCAAACAACTTACTCGTCGTTGAGGTTGCAGCCGCAAGGTGTTTCAAAACGAACGTAGATAAAATAGAACTTGTAATAAGTATAAAAACAAAAGGACGGAGACATTGGGCTTGTTGATAACGACAGATACCTTCGTTACATGTTAGCAATATCAATACACCCGAACGTGTTTTCAGAATCCTGATGAAGGCTCAACAGAGAATGCCGAAAGCTTAATTTTTTCGTCAAAAGAGTCAACTTAAACCTAAAAATTTTTTAACAATTGATTGTATTTTGTGCCCAACTGGTCGTTGGCTTTGGCAATGACTACTGCTCATATATATATATATATATATATATATATATATATATATATATATTTGATAAGGAACTTGAAACAAAATGCCTCTCAGTCAGTTCTTCTTCTAACATATTATTCCTATTTTTAATCAAGAATTTCATATGCATTGTTAAAGTGAGGTCACTCGGCCCATTCGTCAAAAGTTTTTGGATTACAACGAAGTTTCTGAAAATTTTATTCCTTAAGAGCGAACTGATATACAGCTACGTCATTTCGTGAAGTGAGAGACTACAAAAAAGTATGTGAAATTATGGCGTAACTCGATTTTAGATTATTTATCATTTACGCCTCTACGTGCGGAGACCGACGATATAGTCGAGGCGCTGCTCCTATAAGACCTAGTTTCCAACCCACACGAATAATACGACACAGTACAATATTTCATTGCAACGTTACTTATCGATACAATACAAGAAACGAAGATGCCGAATTATTTCGAATGTTGTAAAACGAAAGAGCTATCCAACTATGTGTGCATAACATGTAAACAAATTTTTCATCGCAGTTGCTGCAACAAACGAAGTGACGTAATTCTCATTGTTAAGCATATGATATAATGTAGTACGACTTGTCAAGGAAAAGGTTAAGAAGAAATGGAGAAGGAGAACACTACCAATGAAATAATAAGAGAATTACAACAAGAGATTACAGAGAAGGATAAATATATCGCCTCTATGAAAAAACGCCCATTGGCCTTTGAGGATGATGTGAAATTGAAAAAAATGACGACGAGATCCAGACTTACAAGCGTTAAATACAAAATATAGAGCAACAACTTGCATATTTATCCTCAAAAAACAGTACACTGCAGGAACTGACAATCTCACTTTTGATGGAAGAGTCACCTGTTGCGAATAATATTGGGGCCACAAGTTTCCAAATGAAGACCAAGGATATGTGTAAAAGCCAGCCGATAGTAAATGAATTCGACGAATATCAAACAGCGTCGACTTTTGCCCAATGTGCATCTATCGTTTCCCCTATACCCCAGTTAGACGGTGAAGTAGCAGCAGAATCTGCAAGACAAACTCCAATAGAATTCGATGATGCACCAATAATGGACCATCAGGTGAACCAGCGCAACGTAATGCTTCAGACAGCTGTCGGAAAATCCTTATAATTGGTGACGAATATGCACAAAGCTTCAGAAAAGTGTTAGAATTATACATCGACATGACAAAGTTTTCCATAAACGCTTACGTTTATCCCCATTTAGAGTTTGTAGATATCACGAAAAACGTATTTAACATCCCAAAATCTCTTGGTGAGAACGATTTTGTAATCTTCATGATCAACTCTAACAACATAAGTAACACCCCATACTTAAACAAAGGCTTATTGCCTCTTACCTGTCGGTCGAGTAACTAATCTTATTTTTTTATGCGAATTGACCACATCTGTCGACTATCATCTTAGAAATATGATCAATAC